TTTTCGATTTTTTTTTTCTTCTTCCAGATTTTTTCGCCTGTTCCGGCGTTGGCTTTTTTTTTTTTTTCTTTTTTTTTCCCGGTTTCCGGCGTTGACCGGCGGTCTCCGACATTTGTTTTTTTTAGTAATTTTTTTTTTTACGTCCGCCGCTAAACGTTGACCGTAATTGTGCTATCACTGACATAAAAATTAACGTAATTATACTGTCAATGACAGTTAATTAACGTAATTGTACTGCCGTTGACAATACATTTATGTAATTGTTCTGCCGTTGACAGTAAATTAACGTAATATTATTATTTTTCATTTTTTGTTATTTTTTTTTGTTTGATTTGTTGACAAGTCAACGTAATTATATTACCGTCGTTGACAGTAAAATATATGTAAACACAATAATATTACTGTCAACAACATCAATTTTATTATTTTCTTTTGGGTTTTTTGTTTTGTTTGAGTTATTCACGGAGTAACGTAATAATATTACTATCTGTTATTGTAATATTACTGTAAACACAATAATATTGACGGTAATATTACTGTTATAGTAATATTGCTATCAACCACATCAATATTATTATTTTGTTTGGATTTTTTTGTTTGTTTGAGTTATTCACGGAGTAACGTAATAATATTACTGTGGATTATTGTAACATTACTGTGGTTGACGGTAATATTACTGTTGTTATAGTAATATTACTGTCACTCACAGTAATATTAATTCTTTTGGCTTCTTATTATGTTTACATTTGTTGAACAGTCAACATAGCAATATTACTCTATTACACAATAATAATGAGTTTTTGTTGTGTTAATATTATTGTGCTGGAGATTAATATAGCAATATTACTGTGTTAAACTGTAGTTTAGTTAATTTTACTGTGTTTAACAGTAATATAATTAATATTACTGTCAATCACAGCAATATTACTGTTTAAACGAAGAAAAAAATGTTATAGAAAGAAGAAGGAAAAAACAAAAAAAAAATCGAAAAAGTCAACGCCGGAAACCGGCGAAAAAATCCGGAAGAAAAAAAATGAAAAGTCAACGCAGGAGACCGGCGGTCAACGCTGGAATCCGCCGGCAAAAAAGAAATTTCTGAAGAAAAAAAATTTGGGTCAAAATTGAATAATTTGTGAAATTTGGGGTCTAATTGAGGTTAAATTAAGTTAAGGATGAAATTGGAGCATATTAAAGTATGATGGACTATTTTAGTCTTTTACAAAAATTTGGACCATGTGTAGACTTATTGGTAAATGAGTTTTTTGTCTGGATCTCTTTATGAATAAGTATCCATTTATAAACTTATTTGTAAAGACCCCTTAAATATTTATAACTATTAAAACTTATTAGTTTAATTATTTGATAGTTAATTTGTTATCATATTCGATGATCTAGGGGATACAGTTAAAACGGAAACGAATTAATGTATTATTGAATAATGCCTGAAATACATGATTTGATGTATACAAATATTTAATTTACCATAGAGATTATAGTTATTCTAAATGTACAATTTTAATTGGCAAGTGTATTCCATATTTAAAATAGTAAAATCATTCAATTTTACTTGATTAAAGTCCCATAAAGTAAAATTTTGTATAATTTTCTCTTTTTCT